GTTACAAATGTTCTTCTAATTTTAAGATTCCTTATCCAAATGAATGAGTATAATTAAGTCAACTTAAGCCTAAATACAAGGAGACTTCAAAAAGTTTGTAGAGAAATAGAATTAAAGTATGAGTTTATTTTGGTGCAAAAAAATTGAAATCAGGTATAGTTTTTTCATAACAGACATTTCCTTGAACTTTTTGAATTATCCTTATCTATATGAATAGGTGATACATTTCTAAAATTATGTTTCCTCCCCAATGAAAAACCCACATATCCATTACCAGTTTGTAAATTCTGCCTGTAAGTTGCCATTATAATTGTGACTGGGTAACCACTGGGCTTTTTCTCAAAGTAAATGGTTGTTTTAATTGCCCTCTTAAACCATTCCCCGTCCTTAGGAAGAATTACTAGAAATCCTCCATTTAGTTCTTTTTGTTTGTTTCTGCTGAGTCCATTTTTCAAGAATAGATGCAGGGTACTCTAGTTATTATGTCCCAAAAATTATTTAAAAAAATGCAAACAAACCAATCACCCACAAACTTAACTGCACACAATGTTCTTTCCACCTTTTGTCTTTCATCTCCAACCTGTTACCTGTGTAGGCAAGATACCTGCCTACACAAGAAAAACTCTTTTGGATGAGACTCTTGAGGCTTTACCTTTGAGGCCACCTGTTTTGTCCTCTGCCTGAGGGTCAGAAGGGCTGTCCAATACTATTAAAACATCCTTTTCTGCCCTTTATTATCTTGTGAGCTTAACTAAACTCATTTTTTCTCTTAAAATCACTTAATATCACTTTTCTTTAATGAGTCATATCTTTCCTGATTATAGCTTCAAGACAAACCATTTTTATAATTTTTTAAAATTCAACTGAAGCAAGAGTTAATTAAAATATTTCTTCATATCTAGGAGATTTGAGAATTATAAAACAGATGAGCCTTCCAAATGGAGAGTTCTTTGCCTCTATTAAATTGATCTTAGATTGGGACCAGCAGTTAGCATAATGGCTATGTCACTGAACTCCCATGTAGTAGACCATGGTTCGAGTCCCGGACCCAGTGGCTTAAATTCATGCTGGATGGATGTGAGTGCGTGCCCAAGATCCCGAGAGAACAGAGGAGAAGGGATTGCGGTGTGGCCATCCCCCTGGGGGGGGGGTGATTTCTCGCTTTCTTTCTGTCTCTCTCTGTCTTTCTGGTGAATGCATGTGCCCTATAGCAAAATCTTCTCCAAAATAAATAAATAAATAAATAAATAATCTTAGATTGTGCTTTGGAGTGTTTTTGTTCTGTTTCATTTTGTTTTCATCCTATCTATCTAAGTCTGATCATTTACTGTGTTGGTTAGAGTCCATTCAGAAAAACAAAGGTCATTCCCAGTAATTTAATCAAGAAAATGTAATATAGGAAACAAATTGCAGTAGGGTTGGAAAAACTGAAAGTTTAGGGAAAGGAAGCTGCTGTCACCTGGAGGTCAGGAAGGGCAAAGGGGGAAGGTGATAGAACCAGAGCTTAGGGCTAGGACTTCCTTATAGGAGTTGAGAACCTGGAATGATGCAGCCTCTGCCAGGGTTTCACTGTAACAGGGAGAATTTATGTGATCCCCTCTTTCAGTCTCCGGTCTGTCATTGTTTCCCACTGGCTTACTCTGGCTGGGCATCTGTAGTCATCCTGAGGGATGTAATTAGCCACAGTCATCCTCTGAGCTAGCAGATTAGGAGAAAGGTAGTGTCACAGTTTGGGTTTCTTGACTTGGAAATGGAGACTAGCATATCTGGGATTTAATTAGACTTTGCTCTTGAGAGAGCACCTGTGGAAGAGAGGGCAAGGAAGTGAACTTTGCAGAGGGTGAAGGTGAGCCACTATGCTCGGTGCATAGTGGCTGGATGCTCAGTGGAGGCCTTGCCTGCTCTCTGGACCTTTCTTAAACTAGCGTGACCATTAACGTTGTCAAGAGGAAACAGCTGCCTTGGGAAGAGAATGTGACCTCGGCCAAGGTGGCTCTCCTCAGCTGAGGCAATCCCCATAGGGGACCACTCCCAGCAGCTGGAGGAACAATTTCTTCATCCCTGAAGGGGTGTCTAAGCAGCTAACGACAGTGTCCATCACAGCCAGGGAACAGATGTGAAAGCAATGTCTACACTTACTGACTTCTTAAAAATCGTATATTGCTGAGCCGTATGATGTTAATGTTCAACTTGCCCTTTTCACTTGGCATTACTGGAAGTTGTTTACTTATCCCCATGTTCCAACCTGTAGATCTACTGAGATTCAAAATACATCTGTTTTTAAATGTTCATAAAGTAGTATTAAAAGCAAACAGATGAAATACAATTGTATACTGAATTATTCTTCAGTTCTATACATATATAGATTTGAGTGGGTAGATGCATTTTAAAAAAGGAGAAGGAAGTAGACCTAAAATCTTAAACAATGGAAATTTTGTGGTAGAATAACATGGATGCATGCCTAGTTATTTTTTCCCCCTTGTCTGTCTTTCAATAAATGCTCCATTTTATACTAGTTTTAGGATGCACAGTGAAGCTGTGAAGCTCATACAGAAAAATCCTTATAGATGCACATCTAGTTTCTGTACCACACGTCAGTAGGGTATGTGTGTTCTAACTGACAAACTAGTATTGTTACGTTTTAATTACCCAAAATCTATACTTTATTCAGAATTACTTCGATTTTCCCTAATGCCCTTTCTGGTTTGTTGTTCCGGTATCCCATCCAGGGATAGGACTTTACATTTGGTTCTCATGTCTCCGTAGGCTCCTCTTGGCTAAGTGTCTCAGACTTCCTTTTGCTTTTGATGACCTTAATAGTTTTGAAGGGTATGAATCATGTATTTGTGAAATGTCCCTCAGCTAGGATCTATCTGATGTTTTTCTCATGATTAGATTTGGATGACCATGTTTTTGGGAGCGGACAAGTGAGGTAAAGAGCCACGCTCAACACATGCCATCAAGCGTCTGTGTTGTTAATGATTTCCTCTGATAATGTTGATCTTGATTACCCAGCAGAAGTAGTCTTTTTTCAGATTTCTCTCTCCAAAAATATTCTTTTTTGTCCCTTTCTATATTGTACCTTTGGAAAGAAGTCACTATCCCTTCTTGGGATTTTGGGCACACATGCACATGCTCCTGGCATGAGTTTCAAGTCGCTGGGTCTGGGACTCAAACCAGGCTATATGGGAATCCAGCACCTTAACCACTATGCCACCTGCTGCCCCCCCCCCCATTGCTCTTTTGCAAAGGACTTAGGCTTCTATGAAGACAGAGTGAAAGTGCCCATTTCTTCCCCCATTGTTTTCAAAATGTGCAATTGTTAATCTATTTAACATTTGTCAGTTTCATTGAATAGAAAAGAAATTTGTTGATCTGTAGTTCTTTGATTTTTTTGATGAAGATGAATGTTTTATATTTATATTAGTTATTTCATTTTTTTAAATCATTGGTTTATTACTTTTAGTATTTTAAAAATTTAGGTTGTCTTTTTATAATTGATTTTTATACTCTCATTATCCATCAAGAAATTATCCTTTTGTCATAAAATTATTTCTTATCCAAGTTTTCCCACGTGGCAAATTTTTTTTTTTCCTGGCTTTAGGGAAGTTCTTAGTCTTCTTGAATTTAAATGTATCAGTTTTTTGGGACCAGCAGTTGTTGTAATGGCTGGACTCCCATGTAGTCGACAGTTGTTTGAGTCCTGGATCTAGTGGCTTGAACTCACGCCAGGCGTGTGTATGGGCATGCCTAAGATGAGAATGGAGGAGAAGAGACTGTGGCATGACCATCCTCCCAGGGGGTGATTTCTCGCTTTCTATCTCTCTCTGCCTTTCTGGTGAGTGCACATGCCCTATAGCAAAAACCTCTCAAAATGAAAAAAAGCATTAATTTTTAAAAAATTTTATTTATTCATTCATTTATTTTAATTTGACTAGAGAGAGACAGAGAGTGAGAAAGTAAGCCGCCAGGTCTGGGACTTGAACTGTGGTCGACCAATGGGAATGTTCTGCACCTTAACGACCATGCTACCTGCTGGTCCCAAAAGTATTAATTTTTTAAAAGAATTATTCTGTTTAACTTTATTTATTTATTTATTTATTTATTTATTTATTTATTTATTTATATTTAAAGAGAGAGAGAGAGACAAAGCAAGCCCCCAGGTCCGGGACTAGAACCGTGGTATACCATGTGGGAGTCAAAGGCCCTTAACCACCACACCTCTTGCCGGCTCCTAAATGTATCAATTTTTGTATTGTAGTTTCTGTATTTGTGCCATGCTTGTAGAGGTGTACAACACTCTGGAATTATAAAGTATATTTGCCTACTTTTTTCTTCTAGTTATTTTACTTTATACTTTTAAATATTTATACCTTCTATCATCTTATTTTAAGGTAAGAGATAGAAATTGTATATACCAGACACTTTCCTCAAGATCTCTTTTCTCAGTTTTTTCTTTTTTTAACCTAGATAAACCAATACATAAGGAAAGGCTACTTTTTATTTATTTATTTATTTATTTATTTATTTCTGTACTAACAGTCCTAGTGAAAACAGAAGACTGTTAAATAAACCATCAGGCCAAGAGAAGAAGTGTTGATACTTAATCATTCTGTGATCACTCCTGGGCATTAACCATTGATGGATTTTTATAGACGCTTCAGTGGCGAGAGGCTGTAACTAAGGAATTACTCTCTAGCCTTTTAAAGAGTGATGCTGCTTTGTAGTTGAGGCATTTTGAGATTCAGTGAGGTATGCAAGTCATGGAGTAAAAATTGACATCAAAGCGGAGTGAAAACATTACTTTATACTATCGGGTGGGTGTTTTATTTTTTGATCTTTAACTTAAGAGCAGAATGGTCTGTGAGAGCCTTTGGTTAGATCTTGGAGAAGCAATTTGCTCACTGAGGTAGAAGTTACAAGTACGGGTTATTCTTTTCCTTAAAAAAATGCTTGGTACTTATTGAAGCAAAATAAATAAGCATGATAGGAGAGGAGAACAGCTGCCCTAGATAAATCAGTCTTCTGGAGAGCTTGCAGGGGCTCAGGGAAGATTTCAAATATGAAGGGTATGGTGCAAGTAAGTTTCTGACCCCTTTTCTGCTTTGCCAGGGGAAGTAAGGTAGAGCATTGGGGTTGGTGTTTTGGGTACTTCTCGTGACAGGCCTGTGGCTTATTCCAGTGGCCCCTGTTCAAACAGGAATCTCATACATGTACAGTTTTGGGGTAGTTTTCTTTAAGAGAAGGCTATAGGATGTAAGGTTGAGAGTGATTTAAATAGAGCTAGGCTCACTTGTTGGGGAGAAGTTGATACACAGATATTTTTGATTGTTTGGGACCATAGAAAATATCTGGTCCAGTCTTTTACTGGTGAAGAGAAGAGAATATATTGATAGGTGATATGACTTCCTTAAGATCAGGAAGCTCCAAATGAGATGCATAGCTTTAATTCACAAACAAAGCATGGGTACTATTGATCCTTTTCTGACGGTGGCCATAGTTTTGCTGTATTTATATTTTTAATAAAAAATGGCTGGAATTTCAGTAGTTTAATCAGTCAAGTACTAGTACCATTTCTGGTTTCTTAAGCCAAATTTTTGATTTGATATTTTGGGTTAACCTGTCCTCCTAAAAGAATTATTTTTCAGTTATCTTTACCAGCTCCATGGGCTACTGATATGAATTTTCTTTGTGTCTTTTCTTCAAATGCCTTTTTATTTGAACTTTTTTATTTTAAATTTATTTATTTTATGCTCATTCACTGAACATCATCACAGTATACAAAATGCAATTTCTCATCCAGGATACACTGTATAATGGCTTAATTTATACATGCTATCATCAACAAATAATTTTCCATTTCATGTTTCTTATATTTTTTTCCCTTTTTTTCTTTTTGATTCCCTGTTTCTCACCCTCTACCACTCCTCACCCTCAAATACTTTTTCTTAACTAAGATAATTCATTGAAAAACAGGGAAATGATGAGGTGGCTGCCTGCTTGATTATCAAATGTGCTCCAAAAAACCCATTTTGGAGTACTAAGTTTAGAGAAGAATCTGATCATTTATTTGCCTAAGAGACCAGTTCAATTAAATCTGTACTGTGCTCATTCAAAATAATGATTTTGAGCTGCATATTTTATTATCGGTGACAACTAAAAGATTGTTACTGATCAAGGGCATTGTGTTGTTTATCTTTCATGTACATAATATCATACGGGAAAGTTAAAAATTATATGCCTGCTATTATCTTTACTTCTCAGTCAGAGAAGGGTTAAAAGCCCAGAGCCCCTAAGTGACACATGGGAAACATTTAAGACCACCTGCATTTGAATGAATAATTTAAGGGCTTCTGTTTTGTGCCTTAGTCTCAAAACTTCTCTACCTCTTTCTGACTTTATTTCTTTTCTCTTCTGTATTATTAATTTTTTATAAGATTTTTGCCATAGGGCATGTGCACTCAATGGAAAGAGACAGAGACAATGAAAAGGAAGGTGAAAAATTACTCCAGAAAAATGGCCACTCCACAATCCCTTCTCCTCCATTCTCCTCTGGGGATTTTGGGCACGCATGTGCCTGGTGTGATTTTTGAACTGCCAGGTCTGGAACATGCACTGAGATTAATCATGTGGGTGTGGAGTCTGGTGCCTTAACCGCTACACCATCTGCTGGTCCTACTCTTCTGTATTTTTAAAAAGAAAGTTATGACAAAATTAAGAACGTAGATATCACAAGAAAAAGTGTGTTTTTTAGTGTGAATAGAATTCACTTTACCTCACAAAGATAATCCACTTTGGAAAGGCCTATTAAATTCAGGCTGCTATTGATTTTCTCCACTTACTAAATACTTTTTTTAATACACCACATTCATGGTGCTATTTCTGACATAAGTTAGAAGCAAGTACTATTTGAAATAATGGCTGTAATCCAGCAATTCAATTAATCTTTACAATATAAATCTGTGGATGGTAGATTTTTGGAAAGTCAGACAAAATTGCTGTGCTATATCTTCGAAGCATGATTTGTGGACTCCTGTCTTAACAGCTCTCATTTTAAAGCCAACATTTTCTCTTTTATGTTTGTGGAAAATACTTTAGTGGCATCCACGGAGCCGAAATTCTTTTTATTCATAGAAGCAGGAGTCTCTGTTTCTCTCTCAGGGAGAGCACTGAGGCTTATGATCTTAGCGTGCTTGGAACTCACACAGAGGTCATAGAAGCATTTAGCAGCTAGGCCTGAGCAGGTAGGGACAAGTTCTGCCTCATCTGTAGAGATCTGTGCAGAGCCAAAGGAAACCATCACAGTGTGCCCCTCTCTGGCATTGTCATTAACCTCTGGTCACTCTTAGAAACAGTGACTTGGTAATACATGGCCTTGCCCACCAAGAACAAGGGTGAGTTTCCTAACTTAGTTTGTGCTTCGATTGTCATTGCTTTGTGTACGCAGTTTAATCCTTGCTTGAATCTTTATTAAACAACTCTTTCATTGCTCTTTTATTTTAGCATCTCTTTTTCATGCTATCATGGTAGTCTTCAACCTATGTAACTATAAGTTCATGGATATTCTTATAGTCATTTCTGGAAATCTTAACTGATAGCTAATGAACTAATAAACAAGTTCTCCTAACAGCCAAGGCAGACCTTATGGTGAGGCTAGAGGACATCCTGCTCTAAGATACCCTATGAAATCATAACCGGCAGAGTTCAGGTAGGCTTTGATGCTTCCTAAGTTATATTTGATGAAGTCGAGGATGGGGTGGAGAAATGGAACTATGAAAGATATATTTTTGGAAGCCATCTTACAACAGATAAAGTTTTGAAGTAATATTTTCACTCTATAAAAATTGTTGTATGCCTATATACCTTGTATGCTGTATATTATATTGTAAATATATTGTGTTATATGTACATTATGCACAGCCATCTCCCTGAGGGGCGATTTCTCAGTGAGGGGGTGCTTTTCCTCTCACTATATCTCTCTGGAAAGTGCATGTGCCCTGTGACAAAAATGAACATACAAAACACATACAGGCAAGTTGATCTCACTTTATCTTTCTCAAGCTGCAAAGATGGTCTTAAGTGTGGTTCCCAGAGATTCCTCACAGAAGCAAATATAAATCCTTTCTGAAGATACCTTTCTCCTAGATTTCAAAGTTCCTTGAAAAATATTAACATTGACGAACAGAGCACAGTTAAAAACAAAAGAAAATGAGACCGCAAGTAAAACCCAACAGAGCTATCAGACAAAGAATGCCTTCGGGTAGTAGCATTATCAGGTATAGATGGGAAAACTCTTCACTATCTCTGATGATGATATGGTAAAAACAGTGGTGAACTGGGAGAAGAATAGTTTATTTTGACCTTTATTTCTGGACTACATGCAAGTAGTCTTCTCAGCTGTCTTTCAGCTCACTAATACCATTTTTTAGTATGTCTCTTCTACTGTTATGCCTAAGCATTATGTTAATTTTTTCTCATAAGAATCTCATTCAGTTCTTATTCTAGATAATTTTTTATAGTTTTACTATTTATTTATTTATTTATTTATTTATTTATTTATTTATTTATTTATATATTTTTACTATAGGGTGTTTGCCCTCACCAGCTAGTGAAAAAAAGAAAGGGAAAATGAGAAATCACCCCATAGGGGGGATGGCCAAGCTGCAATCCCTTATCCTCCATTCTCCTCTCAGTATTTTGAGCATGTACCCATATGTGTCCAGCATGACTTTTCAAGTCACCGGGTCCAGGGCTTAAACCGTGGTCAGTCATGTGGGAGTCCAACACTTTAACCACCATGCAACCTGCTGGCCCCTCTAGGTCATTTTTTAAAAATAATTTTTTAGTCTTTTCATTTCTTTTTTAAAAATAATTATTTTATTTAACTTTATTTATTTACTTATTTTAATTTGACCAGAGAGGGACAGAGCAAGAGAGGGAGAGAGAAGGAAAGTGAGAAAGCAAGCAGCCCAGTCTGGGACTCCAGCTGCATTTTGCTATGTGGGAGTCTGGCACCCTTCTCCATCATCCCACCTGCCAGCCCCCTAGATCATTTTCTATAGTTTACTACTTTTTGTTAATATTATCCATCTTGTCTTATTTTTTATATTAGACATTATTTGAATAGGTGACAATTTCTAAAACTGATGAACACCAATCCTCAGCTCAATAAAGTAGCTCATTGAATCTTAAGCAGAGTAAATTAAATATATATTGACAAAAAGCAGAATAACATTGCAGAACACAAAGTTAAAAAATAAAACTTTTAAAGATATTGAAGCAAAAAGGATAGATTTCTTTCAAAAGAACGGATAGGTTGATAGCTGGTTTCTCAATAGCAGTGTTTACAGAGGAAGGTAGTGAAGGGAGGACCGGCCTCACAGCCAGCTAAGGGAGCCTGATCTCTCATGGCAAATGGCAGTTTGAATCCTGGTTCCCTTGGCTTGATGGACATGCAGAGTGCATGTGCACATGTGCCCCAAATACCTACAGGATAGAGAAATGGAGGAGAAGGGATTGCTAAACCCTTATTGGAGGGTGCTTTCTCCCTCTCTTTCTGCCTTTCTCTGGCAAGCACACACACCCTGTAGCAAGAAAAAAAAAGAGAAATAGCGAATTATATCATCACCGTGCCAAAAATGATTGCCAAACTGAAATTGTATACCCTGCAGAAATCTCCTTTAAGAATGAGCACAAAGTAAAAACATGTATAGACTAACAAATAATGATAGAGTCTGCCATCAGGAAAATTCTCAAAAACATACTTGAGGCAGAAGGAAACTGATTACAGTTTAAAGGAGAAGTGTAAGAAGGAAAATGCATATAGTGGTAAGTAGGCGTAGCTGGTAGCAAACTAAACTGTGTGCCGGCTGACCATGGGTTCAGATCCCTGGGTTGTTCTCATAATATGCTTGGTTTGTGTACCCAGGATCTTGACGTGAGGGCTATTAACGAAGGATTCGTGGCATGACTGGGTCCTGTTAGGGGGCCTCTTCTCTGTTTCTCTTGCTCATGCCATGTGCTATCATGAATAAATATAAAAGTACATTTTTTAAAAAAAGAAAGTGGTGAATATTTGGG